CGGTGCCATCGTTGGCTGTTGTCAAGTCAAGTGGCAGACGCATATCAATGGACGACAGCAAACAGCAAAAAGTGGAGAGCAAAAAATTTTACTTCAAGTGTCAATCAGTGAGAAGACACACACACGCGCACATACAGTCACACTCACAAAGTGAAGAGAAGCACAAACATACGCACACACACTCACATGTGATGCAGACTGCTGGAAGCTAATCGATTTATGTTGTAATATTCAAAAAGTTCCCCATAAGGACGATGAGGACAGCCGGCAGCGACCTAATCCAGTGGCACTCCCCCGTGTCCCATCGTTGCAATAATTTCTCCCCAGCCACCGATGCGGAGCTGCTGAGGCCATGGCCACGTGTTTGACTCTGATTTGAAGCACCCTGTAACTGGGTATATAGGGCCCAGGAACGAATCTGACGCCATCGGCCCACAGGCCAAGAGCCATGGGACATGTGTGAGAGTGTGCGTGCGTGTGTGTGTGTGTGCATCAGAGTTGATTCTGTTGTTGGTGTCGGTGTCTGTTTATCTGCCTTCGTTTGTCGCATTAAAATTGAATAAAAAATCAATCTCAATTCTAGCATAATTTGATTCCTGGCTTCGATTATGTGTAGATGTGTGAGTTGTGTGCCTAAGTGTGCGGGATTAGAGAGGCTGGCGCTTTGGGTTGGGGCTCATGCAAAAAGTAAATAAATATTTAAATCATAATTTGTATACTCGGTGAAATTGATGAAATGATTGAATTGAGGCATGTACTCGGGCATTATACGAAACTGAAGGAACATTTCTTTTATAGATATGTAAAAAATTAAAATTAAATATTTACAAAACTTGACTCGACTCTTTAGTCTCCCTGCTTTTATATTTTGCTGCGTTGCACAGTTGAATCTTCTAGCAAAGCTTAGCACCAAATTCACTTTGTGCCAAGAGCCCGCCAACTTTTTATCCCCACAGCTTATCCACATGTGCCGTGTAGACAAAAACAAACGCTCAAGAGGAGTTTCTTTCGGCTGCGTTTATTCCAATGCATTTAATAAAGTGTTTATTTCTGTTGCAACAAATTTGCCAGCTCAGTGCAGCGCGTACGAAAAACTCTTTCGGAAAACGTAGACGATGAAAACAATCCGAGCTGAAACCTGAGCACGACACAAAGGAAAATTGCTTTTCCGCTACGCACACACGCTTCCACCAGCTGGGTAAATACCTAGCACGCTTCGTGGCGGCGGAAATATGTGGCCAACGCTTCCCATCGCCCCACCCATCCCACCGCCTCATCCAAAAGGAGAGACAGATGGCGCTTCAGTGCTTCGGCTAACCCATCGAAGTTTGCCTGATGACGTATATCCAAAGGGGGCGTTCTGGTGGGCGTGTGGCTGCATTCTCTGCCAATTTTGTATTATTTTGGGGTTTTGGGCTGGCGGCGCAACTTTTCGCCAGCTACCCGTAGCATAGTTTTATTTCAACTCACTTTTACATTTTACTTTTGTTTTCTATTTGTCTTTCGGTTGGATAAGGACTGGAGCTGGGGATGGAGCTGGACACGCTTGGCATTCGGCTTGAGTGGCACATTATTTGATGATGCTTTTCGCGATTTTTTCGCACTTGAGTGGCTGATTTTTATTAGTTGAATTCTTTACGCCTGCGAAAGTTTCAGTTTCTTGCTTTCACATTTTCCTTAGCTTTTCCCCTTTTTCAATGCCGCCGCACGTTCAGTTTCTTTTTGTTCGACAAAACTTTTCCTTCCGTAGCAGGGCAAACAAAGATTTTGAAATATTGTAGCAAAAGTATGTGCTAGATGGTACGAGTAATTCCTTCTCTGCCTACCTGCTGCAGTAGATCATTTTGTCTCGAAGTTCTTCGCTTAGAGGTTACGCCAATGTTAGCAGGAAGAATCAATTTTAGTTTGAAGCCAAATGGAATGAGGGTGCTCAAATTCTTCTTGTACTCAATATTCAGATAATATCATTTCTCGCTTATCGCTTAAGTGTCAAGTTAAAGCTTTCGCTGCACAGGTAGATGGTGGGAGTGATGTCCGCCTCCACAAAAAGCGCAAAATCTTGATGAGGAATAGCGAAGGCAAAACAAATACACGGAAATGAAAGTTAATTTGAATACATTACCAATTCTAATTACGATTTTTCAAGTGCAATAAAGAAAACGACGACGACTAAAACGGCAGCAGTGCGAAAAAGACAAATAAGATGACGATGGCATGAATAAAATAATATTGGTTCGAGCCACTGAATCGTAGGGACAGCCACAACGGGCGGGGCGGTCGCTGGAAAAACCACGAAGCATTCAAATTGGAATTTCAAAAAGCGAATAGACAACAAGGCAACAGACAGACGGTCATGGGCAATAAGAATGGGAACGAGAACGGAAAAGGCAATGGTATGTGAGTGTCAGTGCTTGCTGACCAAAAGATTAGCTGAAATATGCCAAGAAGCAGCTGGGGAAGCTGTGAGTTTTCACAGCCAGTGACAGGAAAATGGCGGCAGCCACGAACTGAATTTGAATAATTTTTTTGTTCGTGGTGGCAGCATCTGCACAAGTGGCAAATGCATTAAAGAATGGGGCGAGCCAAACTTGTAGGGATTCGCATTTCATTTTATTATAAATTCAAATACTGTGCTTATCGCTTTAGATGCCGGTTTAAACCACCTGCAAAGCACATCAGGTATCATGCTCGCTTCGCACACCCCAATTGACTTTTACCAACAACAACTTTCGCTATGAGCCTCGCTTATTATGCAGCATTTCTTTTCTCCACTTTGTCTATCCATGGCCAAGGTCTGGCAGCAATTTCATATGCCTCATGCCAAGGCGAAAAATTAGAAATGAAAATTAAGTAAATATTATAATATATATGTTGCCACCTGGCTGGAGATGGGGCTGGAGCTAGGGCAGGAGCTGGGGCTGGGTCAGCTTCAGCAGAAGTTCCTGCCATCGAATCCATTTGGGTCTCGCCTTGGCAAATAAATGATAAGCATTACATTTGATATTCATTATTTGATAACGTGTAATAAGAAATAAAAATAAAACGCCAACGGAAATGAAAATGTTGCCGCCACGGCCTGCATGCAACCAGAAGGTAAACGCGGATACCAGCCAGGCTCAGGCCCAGGCCCAGGGCCAGGGCCAGGGCCAGGGCCAGGGCCAGGTCGAGGACCAGACAAGTTACAGGATTAAATGTTTGACTAAGTGAAATATGTTAAATATTATGATATGTGCGGTCTGCAGTCTACCTTAAGCCTGCTATTCCCCCTGCTGCTCGTATGGTCTTCTTAACGTGTTCTTGCCATTTGATTTATGGAATTAAAGTGATGTAGCCGGGAATACGAGTGGGAGCAGCAGATGAGTTTATTTTTAGCTATGGCATATTATGCAGCTGAAGTATAGGTCCTGAGTACTGAAAGGTGAAGAAGCCAGTCTTGTCACTACAGAATAATTACGGCCCTTTTTTGCTGGGTGCAATGACACAGCCATTCATCACATTATCCGGACAGGCCAATCCATTTAAAAGCCCATAAATACAAGCAAACGTATGTAGATGCTAATGTCGACCATTTCAATATCTAAAAGGCATGCAATAAGTTTCCTTGATTTTTTCCTGCTTGCAATTGAAAGTTTCATTTAATTCTACGAGTACTGGAGGAGGGTCAACAGAAGTCAAAGTCGAATCGAAACAAGGCTTCGAAGGACAACATAAATGGCGAGAAAAGTAAAAAGAGTAGAACAAAAAGGGTAAGTACAAGTAAAATTTTCAATGAGCTATTGAGAGGTTGCTTCGTACACTTTATAATTCACAGTCACCTATACAACATTTAGTTCAATGCTAGAGTAGTTCAAACAGTGGCAACTCCTAAGAAAGGGATCGTGTGGCATGCAATACCAACAAGCCAGAATGGTGGCAATGCGACAGACCAACATCGGATCCAGACCAGGCCAGGCCAAGCCAACGCCAGCGGCGGCGCACTTAAGTTTATTGGATTTGAAGTGAGGTCTTCTCCAACTCAAGCAGGAAAACTCAAAGCTAAAAGAAGCAAAATTGTTGGTGAAAATTGTGTCGGCACACGCACACAGAATTCAGTGGGAACTCTTCACTTAAAGGCCACGAACGAGTGGCAGTCACAGGTGCACCTGTGCACGATGAGGGGGGCGCGTGTGTGCGCGGAGCGTGAAATTATGAGCCCTTTAACAGCAACAGCAACCGTGGATAACGAGGACGTCAACGACAAGCTTAAGCTGCTTAAAACAAGCCATTGGCAAGGGGTAGGCAGGGCTACGAAAAAGGGTGGGTGGGGTGCGGCGGAAAAGCGAAAGTGTCAAGGATGCGGCTGCCGTTTCATAGTCAAATTAAATTGCTCACTAAAACAGCGAGACGTGAAGTCGACGCTAAAGTAAAAGGATAATGTGAGCATAAAAACATTTTTAATGAAATCGAGACGACTTCCAACTGGGACAACGACGGGGTCTAAGGCAGGGATCGGGACTGTGGCGGGAATCCAGAGAATGTACAAGTCGAAGTCAGCGTCTAAAAATGTAACAAGTGAGTTTTAAATTAAACGCTGCTTCAAGTGAGGTGAAGGGTGGTTCAGGCTTTGGAGCTGGGGCGTTTTTGGGTGAGCTGCAGTGAGATCTTGCTCCTGTTTTGTTTGCGTGTTTGCCAGTGTAATTTCTTTCGGCTGCACATTATTTTCATATCCCGCTTAAAATTTTAATTAATTTTCAGCTTGATTGCGTTTTAAAGAGGCTGCTGGTTGGTGTCTTCGTCAGCTTCTCCATCTGAACACTGGGGCCTGGGAATTTATAGTTATTGTGGTTGAGTGTGTGGGTTTCGCTTGGGTTATTGTGGTGCCCTTTGACTTTGTGCCGAGCAACAAATTTTGGTTTGCAATTATTTAGACAATTTGGGTTTAAGTAGGGGCCCTAATATATTTTTGATTTTCCCTGGCTTAACGTAAGAAATAAATACAATTAAAAACACAGCCTGCTTACCTTTAGTGGTATGCCTATCCAAATTCGGATCTTTCAGGCCTGAAATGAAACGAAAAAGGTTTAAGTACATCTTAAAGTGCACTAATTTAGTTCAAGCTCAGTAGCTACTAGATTGGAACGACTATAACTGTAACAGGAACTAACGATAAGAAGTCAAAGTATTTTGTGTAAATCTTTCTGTTTCAAAAAATTATTGACTAAGCAGAGAAGCAACTAAATAATTATAATCTTGACAACATTGGACTACTATATTAGGTAAGGGAGCATCTGTGTTTCTATCTCTGTTTCTTTTTTCACATATTGCAATCAGCCTTTCAACTAAACGTTTTATATGCGCCTTGGATACAATCAAACTCTTATAAAAATTCCTTTATTTTATACCTCGAAACCCACAAACGGTGTAAAATTTATTTTATGCATGAAAACAATGTTACGTATGGAAATATATCGCACAATTGCACCAAAGAACTCTTTGAATGAAAAGGTTAAAGGGCATATCTTAGGAACTTTCTACTACTGCGCAAAGAACTTGTTGGATACCTACCGCGAACCATAAAAAAACAAATATTAAAAAAAGAAGCGCAGCGTGAAGAGTTCATATAAATATTAGTAGAAGCTTGTTCGAGTATATAAAACGGCATTCTGGAAGTGGGTACCCAGAATACTTTTCCCTTTTTTCCCCTCTATTTAATCGTAGTGTACTTAGTGCAAACTGAGTCATTTATCTCTGTCAGGTGGAAGCAACCTATGTGGGAAATTAGTCTGTCTGGTCGACACATTAGACTCGTAGACATTGGTCTGCCCGACGCCAAGGCTTGGACACGTTCATTGTTGCCCCCTCGTAATAGAAGCTATCAAATGTTAATCTTAATTAATTGCTACTAATTACATACTACAAAACGACAAGAGGAACGTGTCTTTAGAACTAGTTGAGAAGTGCGAGGTGAGCTTAAAAAGAGAAGCAATTGGAAAACGTTTTGGGTAAACAGTTTGTTGGCGCAAACACTTTAAAGGCAACTACACTAATCAGTTTGCCCGCTAAGAATCATGGCGAAACCTGCAAGAGCTGATCTCTGCGAAGTATTCGACAAATTGTCGCAGATTATTTAGGTGCTGCTAAATGGAGCAAATGCTACATAAATGGCATGAAATAAAAGACGAAAATAAAAGGCAAAACAAACGAATCCTTTTGGGATCGAACGCAATGAAAAAAGCACTGTATTCAATCCAGTCGCGTGTTTGTGCAACTTCTAATTAATTTTTCGCAAAAATCTATGCCCTAACGGAAATGAATTTAAACTTTTAGGGCAGGCGGAAGTGGAAAGTCCCAGCCAGAGTTGCATTTGCTGCAGTTGTTTCGTTTCGTGCTTCCGCCCGACCCATAGACCCTTTTGCCCATCGGACCATTCGCCACGAGCCTTTCACCCGAGGAGTTTTCGCTTTGTTTTTTTCTCTTGTCGTCGTGGTTGGGCTCATTTATTGTTGTGCCTTTTTCAATGAGTGCAAAAAAAAAAAGCAGAGGAAGCAGACGTCAAAGGCTATGGTGGTCAGAGAGGCCGGAGAGACAGAGCCATCAAAACGCTCAAGCAAAAAAAGCCGACGGGGCTGAGGAGTAAGTTTTCCTCAAAGGGCTTTGACTGTTTAACAGTATATCTGAATATATCTTCGAGTCGCTTATGCCATTATTAATAGCCGCAATAGTCCGGGTATCTCCCCACTTGAAAGCAGTTTGCGACTTTGCGGTTTTATTTTAATTTAATTCGGCGTTTAATTAATTCTCAGCTATCACCACAGAGCAGTCAACAGCTCGGCGCTTAGCTTCTTGTGGCATCTAATGGCGTCTAGCCGACCAGGCAAGATTGCACCAATGAAAGGTCTTATGGGAAATGCTTTCACATACCGCAGACATGTCGGGATGGCCCCAAGTCACATAAACAGTGCGATAAGCGGAAAGAGAATGAGATAATGCGGTTTGCGTTTCAGTCTGACACTGTTCATCAGGCATTTTTTCGACAACAAAGACCCGGCTAAGGATAAAGAATCCAATGAGACGACAGCAAGAGCTTTAATACTCGTTTTTTGAAATAAGGCATATTAAAGTCAGCTCATACTCAGATCGAATTGGCTGAGTATACAACTAGTGCTTATTATTGGCCTCAATATATCTAGCTTCGACCATAAACCATTAAAGCTCGTATCAGATGCTTATCTCGCACGAATTCATAAACTTTTATTGACATGAGCTGGGTAGAACATTAATATTCAAACCCCACAACTATTTTGCCTACACCCCTGACAGTTCTCTGCTTAAGATCTACCCATAAATTGCCCATTAAAATTGTCGCTGGTAAGCCAACTTTCCAAATATATGGGCCTATCCATCCCCAAGCATTGCGTACGTAACAAATCGCGCATAATTATGGCGTAGACGTCATAAAATTTGATGTTTGCATCTTGTAAATTGTCTCTGATTTGAGCAAAGGGGCTGAAAATAAACCTGACTGGGGGCATTGCTGAGGATATAGGCAGTTGGGTTAATTATCACGTCATGTTCGCTGCGAGCTGCATGCAAATGCGATGATGCGAACCCAGCTCAGCTGCTGCTCATCTCAGATCCAACACATTTTATGTCATCTACGTGCTCATAACTTTCCATGCGTTTTTTTGTTGGTGCATTGTGCAGTTGTGGGTTGACTTTTTGTTGGGTAAATAATTTTATTAGTTTGTGTCTGAATTTAGCAAAGGGAATGGATACTTGTCGGGTATCTTTGTGTGTTTGTATGTGTGTGTGAGCTTGTCGTTTCAAGTTGATTACGTTGATTAAACAAAGTTGTTGCTTGTTTAATTAGTAAAGTTGCAAATGGTTTTCATTAACGAGTGGTCATTGACCGGAAATGCTTTGTGCCGTCTACGACAAGACTATCCGACTGTCGGAGCTTTTGATTTGAAGTGTTGAGTTTTGATAGCAAAGCTTGGCATATTTCTTAAATATTTAATTGTCAGATGTGCTGATCAAATCAATGTTGCCAACTATTTGTCATTTATGCAATTAATATCCAATTAATGTCCTTTATTCTAGCGACTTGCACATATAATTAATTAAAATTTGCGCCACATGCCGTATGGCAACATATTTTTATGCCACATCAGCACACTGCAGTCAGTTTCTGTGGAAGGAACCAAACCATGGCTTATGCCTGCCTCACACCCAGCCGACTGAGCCCACGGCGATGCTATGCACACTCATTAACGCAACAATAAAATACGCCCCCTTCGCCGGGCATATGACCCGCCCACTTGGCGCGGACAATTAATGTGACTGACACACATGGAAATTTTGCATCGCCTGCGCTGTCATATTTGATTTACAGTTGCAATTTACACACTTGCGAGGCGGCAAGAGGCTGTTGCAGTCCATTGGAGGCGGGTGGCAGTTCCCTGAGCCTCACCCAACAGCTGTCCACGTCAGCATCCAGTGTCTGTTTGATGTTGTTAATTGATTTTCAAAGTCAACTTGCTGGGCCGGCAAACCTCCCTGCCTCCTGGTGCGCTGGGTGGCAGTTGGCCGAGTTTGGTTTCGCTTTTAATGCAGAATGAAACATATCGCTCGGAGATTAGCAGGGCAGTAAAATGCGTCTCCATTCGGGCGCAAGCGGCATAAAACCGATACCCCAACCCACCAATCCTCCAATACGGTAATTCTCCAATATCCAATCCGCATGGCATCCGCATCGACAGTTTACACATCGAACTGAAGCTGGGATGCGTGTAAGTGCAGCGGAGCGCATTTACAGCTGCAACTGCGAGTGGATTTGGATGTGGCCAGGACACTGCCAGGACGTGGTCTGTTTGTTTTATGTGCGGCCATTGTAGTGCGCCAGTCGTTGTTGCTGCCGTTGTTGCTGCTGTTGTTGCCTGCATGGCATGCGGTTCAATCAAAGCGATTTTCAATGTCCACAAAATTACGCAAAAGGACAGTTTGGTAATTTGACAACGACGGACAGACACACAGCACAGCACAGAGGACACTCAGCCTGTTGTTGGTAATGCGTTTGGTTTTACTGTTTAAATTTAAACATGCATTAGCCAGGGGAATGTAGCTGGCATACGTGTGAGAAGGAGCAAGGGTGCGTGCAGCTTCCTGATGCGGTCGGCTACAATTCTAAAGTGTATTTGCATTTAACGCTTCGAGGGGGCCAAAACATGACAGTTGCATTAATTTTGATTGCGTAAATATTTTAAGTGTGCGGATTGCTGAAGGATCCGCAAAAATGTTTGGTCTGGGATTGGTGAATGGATTTAAGTGGAGAAGTGCGTTGGAAATTTCCGATTTCCATGAAGAGAGAAAATGTCGGCATGTGATGTATTGACCGCACTATGTGTCAAATAAATGCGCCGCACTTCGAGAATTTAATTGAGAGTATGGGAATTTTCTACTCTATGCACAAAGCGAATGGTCTAATACTATATCTAGCTTATTTTAGGAGCTGGACAATTACCTGCCCTAAACATCTAACCAATATTTTCACGACATGATTATGTAACAGGCTGGTACATGCAGTACTGTATAAGGGTCCATATAGGTCAAGTCAGCTGTTAATGATCTTAGCTAATTACTAATAAACATACATAAAATATAATATATTACACTTATTATTCCATGTACCCATTGAAGCAGACAAAAATGGTAAAATGGTTTTGGGTAGAAGGCACATAAGTAGTATGAGTCTTTTCTCACCCCAAAAACGGATATATTGCATCAACAGGTGAGTTAAGCAAGCAATGCTTGCACTCCCGTCTGTTCATTTGTCCATATGAACGCTAAAGACATTTTGAACGTAGGTCCCACTATGGCCCGTGCAAATCAAGTTTTACTTTATATCATCAAAAACTTGCCAAGTTCCTTTGAGTCTTATTGAAACATCCAATATTAAAATTCTATTTTTTGGGGTTATCTTAGGGCTGGCATGAGGTACATTTCATTTTAGGCTGTCTCCTAGTCAAGCACTCCCATCTTGAGCAGTCTTGTTTTTAAATGTTTATAGGAATTATTTGTAGAAATTTAAAGCTTAAAATAAATACGTTTACATGGCCAGAATTTAAAGCCTTTTACTTTTAAAATAACTTATCAACCGACAATCTGTTTACCCTGGCGTCCTGCTCCAACATTAAAATATTGTTTCGATATTTTTAATGAATTCCATTCTCAGACCAATATTTTAAATTCGTTGCCGTTGTCTTTGTGTCTCAACGAAGGCAAACAGAAGCCAAAGACAAACAATCGAAAAACTCACTTAAAAGAAGAAGCGGAAAAATGCTTTTAAATGCGATATACATTTATATAAAAAATACACTGTCTGATACACTGTTGACTTTCGATTGATATTGATGCAACGTCAATCAAACTGAAAAGGGACTTTTGCTCTAATTTAGCTGCTGTTACGTTCATTTAATGCAAATTGATGTCGCAATCGGGACATAACCGCTCGGAGCTCGTTTTGAATGGTACGAAATTTTATTGGCTCGCGTTTATTTCAATATTTGTCGTACAGCTTGTTGTTGATGCGACATATAGCTTATGTATTTAAATATTTATTTCGATGTTGTTATTCAATACATATCCTGCTGCCCAAGATTTATGGCCATTTGATGTTAAATTGATGGCAGCATATTTCAAGATGTTGACCTTGTTACAAATTGCCACCGCAGCCCGCCCACTCAGTTGCAACGCTCTGCCTCCTATTGGGATGCAAAGTCATGTAGCCAGAGTGGAGCCACAGTGCGTATACTCGATATTTGGTACAGTCGCCTGAGATCCCAGTCTTTGAGTCCGCCTGCCGAGCTTGCCTGCTCGTTTACTGTACGTTTTCATCATGTTTTGCATATTGTTTATATTTTTCTGCAGTCTTGTTTATGCAGTCGGTAGACGGAAGCATCCTCGACTCGACCCGACTCTTGTCTTGTTGTCTTGTTGTCCTGCTATCCTGTTGTGTGCTGTCTGTTGTCCTCTTGTCCTGTTGTCTGTTGTCCTTTGCACTTTGGCTTCGATACATATCAGATTTATTTTACAGTTACAATATTTAATTTGCTCTTACGCAAATTGCTCGCATTTTCCGTTTTGTTCAATGCAAATTTCTTGCACTGGGGTCAGTTGCCCCAGTTGAATTATTGATGGACCTTGTTCTCACTAAATTTATTTCAAATTGAACATTTAAATAAATATGTACAAATTGATTTATCTAGGCGATAATATGCAGCTGGGATTGAATCCGCATTCAATCGTTTATCATGAACTTATTTAAATTAATGAAACGATAAAATGATATAATATTATAAGGAACTGATATAATATTAAATTATAATATAAAAGAAGAAATAATATTCTTAAAAGTTTTTGTCATCATGGGGATCTGATCTTCCTGCTCAGTGTCGGCCTATATGACTATCACATGGCTGACATCCCAGCATTAATTATCACATAAAACTCTTTTATTTATGATATTGTATAACATTTTATTTAAACAATGTCTAACATCACAGAACAGTTTTGAGCTTGCTCGTGCAATAACTTTGGCCACAACTTGTGGTGAATGAGGGCAAACATGCGTTATACGCTGTGTTTTACACGGAAAAGTGCTGCCAACTATTTGAATACGGAAACAACAGACAGCTCCAGGAGTATTTACAGAGCCCATGTATCAGGATATTCGAGCGTTGTAGTGTTGTGTTTAAATACTATCAACACGCTGCGCCGAGCCGCGCCGGTGTCGACTTTATTTCAGCTGACAGCGGCAAGAAGCCAAGTTGAATCTAGTTGGGTCGAGCAGTAGCGGAAACAACGATCAATTGTCAGATAGTTGTCGTCGTTGTTACTCCTATTGTTGCGGGCAGGAAGCGTGTGCGCTTAAAAGTTTAAACAACAGTTATGTGGGCTGTGCATCCCCGCGCCAGTCTGCGCGCAATTGGCCAGGCATGCAGCATATTGCGCAGGTGGAAAATTTATAATTTGCAAAATTGCCACGCATGTTGGCAACATGTTAAATGGCCAGGCAGTTAGCCGGGCTCGCAGGCTGTCGTTAGAGTCGCTTGGGTGGCGGCTTGAAATATGTTAACCTCAAACGAGACGGCAGCCCTGTAGCTACCTGCCTTGCTCTGGCTTTGGTCCTGCCTGTGGCCCGGCGAGTGCCGATCCCTGGCCCGGAACAACCCACAACAATCCAGAACGACCCGAGCCATGTACAAAGTTCGATTTAAGGCCTCGTTTATTTAGCCAGCCAAGCAGAGGCAGTCGAGTCGTCTGGTTCGTTGGTTGCATGTTGCAAAAGTTGTTGCCGTTGCACAACCGCATGCCACAACATGCAGCCAGTCGCCGGGTGGGATGGGCATGCACTTGGGTCTGGGTCCGGGTCTGGACCTGACCTGTATGCCTATGTGGAGGTGAGGCCTTCGCATGTGCTCCTGACATGCCCCACTTGGCAATTGCCGAAACTATTTGTTTACATATTTAGACCATGCGAAAAAGGCAGACATGTTGTCAAGTCATGTTTACTGTGAAATATGTGCATTTAAATGCTGGCCCCCTTCCATGCATACCTCCAAGGTATGGTGCAATGTGGATCTGCATGCGGACACCTGGGCATAAAGTCAACTATTATTTGTGGTATAAGAATAATTGATCCTAGCCAAAAAAAAAAAAATGAATGAAAATAATTCGAAATAAAATCGATTTAGGTCAACGCAGCTTTCTTGATATTCGAAAGAGGATTTGTTAAGGGTAAAAGTGTTAGATGTTAAGTTTTTCCTATGACCATTTTGTTAACACTGCCATTCTTTTTATAGCCTATACCCTAGATTATATTTCCTAAACATTTAAAGAAAGTCAGGCAAAATTGTTGCTCATTTTAAAATCAATCTGTTCTATCTCAGAACGCAGCTGAGACCAAGCAACGGCTTGAGTTTTTTTTTTTTTTACCTTGCAAAAGTCAAGATCAAAGTTGGCTCTTCAAACGTAATTAAGCCATTTGCAGCACGTTTTGCCAATTCAAAAAATATACTTTGACCTCCTGCCCTATGCGCTCTTATCGCAGGACGAGCGGCACGCCCAAAAGGCAAAACTCATTTGAATGGTTGAAGATGCAGATAAAAAAAAAGAAAGAATTCCGCCATGCTGGTGGTAACAAGTCAAAATTTGAGCAACCCCTCCAAACGATGGGCGTTTGTGCCCGCTGGGTGCAAAATTCGGAGGAAAATCACGCGCGCTTATCTTAACCTTACCAAACCCTCGCAATTAACGCCCATTGCGCTGTCGCTGTGAAAAATGAGGCTGTGTCGTTGGCGCAGACGGGGAGTGGAAGACCTAAGGCATTGGAACAAAGAAAATAGAGTGACGGGCAGAGGCGGAAGTAGTTGCCCCAAAGCCATTCCAATTCTGGGCAATTGTGAAATGATTTGCAAACGATGCGCAATCGAAATCGAATTGGAACTCCCCATTGTAGTCTCCATTTACCAATAGCTACAAATTTTAATTGCCGCTGCGATAGCGCCCGGAACGGGCAGCTGGTCGGGGCACGACGGCGGCTGCGTCTTCAAAATAAGTAAGTCGCATTGATAAGAGAGTCACGTTTCACGGAAGCCAGTTCAAGTATTCCACCATCAACTGGGAGGCGTTCCCTAAAGACAATGTTCCTGGTGTCTCCATTATCAATGACAGCCGAACGGAAACAATGGTTACTCTTTTATTGCCACAACCAGCAGCAGCAGCAGAAGGAGGCGGAGGAGGACCAGGAGCAGGAGCGGGAGATGTGCCAGCCAGCTGCTGCCTTTGTGAGTAAAATTGATAAGATGCCGAAAATGACTTGAAAAACAATAAACGTGGCAATGAAATGAATAAAGGCTGCGCATTTAGCACTGAACTGAATAGAGCGCCACTTGAATGGAGAGAAACTCAAACGCAATTTCGGTGCATAAACAGAACGTTTGCGCATTTTAATGAGGCTATTATTAATACTTCTTACCTATTGAAAATCGGTTGTAAGAAAACAGGGAATATCGCAATTGAGCGAATGTATGTTACAGCATTAACACTTCGATCTTAGGGAAAACAGAAGCTAGAGGCAACAAATTGGGCATTTATTATTTATGTAGCACGATTATGTGTTAATATAACTTTGGATGGAAGCGTTGTCCCCATGGAATCTATACTCTTTCGCTTGTCTTTATGTATGTATGTGTGCAATTCATTAAATTGCTTAAAGCTGACCTATTTGCGCTGTCAGGCAAATGGGATAGCTTCATTATCGTCAGTTGAGTTAAACTTGGAGGGGCCATTTAATAAAATTTCATTTGATGAGACAACAAAAGTCAAGTCCATCCCGGCATGCAACTCATTTTGATGCGTAACAAAATTTTATGAAATACTTGAGAGCAAATTTTATGTGTTGGAGCAGCATAAAATTTTAGCGCTAGCAAAAGTCCCCCGTCTGAGGCCGTTGGCGGTTTTGTCAGACTCTCGTCCAACGCCCAGAATCTCTCGGCTGGCAGCATGGCTAATAATATCAAGCATTTACACCTTTATGGGACGTACTTAGAGCGTTTATTTATGCTAATGGCCAAGCAGAACAAGCGGGGCCGCAGTGTTGTTGTATCTCAAAGTTGAGCCACCAAAAGTGGCGTCTAGGCGAGCTTTACACTAATACCACCCCGAAGCGCTGTAAAAGCATAAGAGCAGCAGCAGCAAAGGCAGTTATTGCAAGAACAACAAACCCAGCATCGGATTGTGAGCTTAAGATTTGAACAGGTAAACTTAGTGCGAGTCCATTTCATCACATAAGAGAAAAGTTCGTTCGAGGCGCCACCCTCAGCTCTTGACCTCCCCATGCAGCTGGAAGCCAGTGCCGGCGGCAGAGCCAGACCAGGGGCGACCTCACATCCTTGTCACGAATGTGTTTGTAATTTCCCTAGAGTGTGTTTGACTTTGACGACTTAAGTTGTAAACTTTAACATTATCATTTTCACTACAAGCTTCTTTCGACGCAGCTTCTTTGGCCTTCGGCTACCAGCAGCGGGCAGCAACTCCTCGGCCTGCTCGGGGCGTGTGGCATGTGGCATGTGTGTTTGTCCTGCCCGCAAGTTTAGCCAGACATTTTGATGATGTTGACCTTCGCTACTTTTACTTTTCGCAAAGTATCTTTGCTTCTTTAAATTTGCAGCAACCTTCCGACACTGTTGACATATCGAATTACGCTCGAGCACACAGCGGAAAGCTTGGCTTGAACTTTTCATAGCTGTTTCTCTGCCCTCATGTTGAAGGCACAGTCTGCTCTGCTGCCCAATCGTGGATCGAATTACCGAATTCCCGAATTGATTTCAGACAGATGCTTGGCTACATGTGTCAATTAGTTAAATCAGAACTCGAGAACACGTCAACCGCATGTGTGCCACCAACACCACCACCCTATAATCCACACACCCCTTCCAAAGAATTCGACAGCCGCGCATCGAATGTCATCTCTAATGTTTTCCCGCTCGTGCGTGCCGTTTTTCATAAAATACAAAAATAATATACAGAAAACTCAGTTCAGTTTTCAGCGCTCGAAACAACCCCCCAGGGATTTCAGCGTTTTGGTTTGTTAAAAAAATTATATTTATTAATTTATAGCATTGCGTCTTTATTCACGTTAACTTGAATGCTGCAACATGATGCGCTTTGAAAAATGTGTGGGCTCGTTTAAGACCGAGAAATGCAAGCAACATTGATTTTGCCTTCTTAATAAAATTACATCAACTAAGTTTAGCAGCTCGATATATGTCCACACGCAATGGCTTTAGAGGTAGGGAAATTTAGAGAAAAAGTTGGAGTCAGCCGCATCTACCGTATAGCTGATCGATTGTAAACGAAATCCTTGTCTGAGCAACTTGCCCAAACTTGAGAATTACGAGCGTCAGCATATAATGCACCATTAAATATATTTACAGTTCCCATACGAACTGTACTTGATCACCATCTCTTAGTGACCCAGTATTTCGCCTAGCCACACTCAAGATTTGAGCACTTTCAGTCCCCGTTTTGTTCTCATGAAAATCAGTTGCAGCTCTCGAAATGTTAATGTTGTTAACCTGATATTTACATTCGCGAGCTTATCGCAAATGATTTCAGCGCAACGTGCGCCGTAAATTAGAATCAAATATAGAGAGGAGTCAAGCTGATTTATGTTTTTCCCATAGCCAGTACCGCTTGTAGTACACGAGCTAAGCGCTCAGAAAAACAACCCCCGCCCACGTGGCCATGTATCGTCCGACAGCTCCAGGCTATTGAAAATCCAAAAGGTAAACAGGCTGTATCGGGCTGGGCCACCCTTTAACACGCGACCAGGCCCCGGTCTGTGCCAATCAGAAAGACATAATCTGCTCGATTTCGTAAATCTCGACAAGCTGCTTATCTGATGAAATGTGAGCAGTGTTCCAAGGATCTCGCGCAGTTGATAAACATCTCACACGTTCGGCTCGCAGACTTCCGGCCATGGGGCTGTCAAAGTGACAGCTTAGGCGATGCGAGGGCGTCAACGACCAAACGTGGAAAACAAAGTACAGTAAAGCTTGGCGCGTGCGGCTGTCAGAAGCGTCAGAAGCGCCCTTGTCGTGGGGTCTTCATTTTGCACTCACTGATTGGCATCGGAAATTGAAGTGTTTTTATTAATGCCAATTGGACATTTGCGCCTTGTCTCACAAAACTGCAAAAATTTCATTTAGTCAAGTTCGCATTCAGCAATCTTCATTTCCCCTTGGATTTCCGTTGCGTGCCTTTTGTTTCTTTTTTTTTCTGTGGCATTATTAAAATTCATTGACGCGGTTCGCCAGATTTGTTGCGCAATTGATTGACAGTCAAATGCGATTGCTGCTTATTGAATTGACATAACTGGAAGACTGCGGACTGGGGCAGGATGGTTCGTCAAGTTTCAGCACAAAATATGCGCTTCAAATTGAATAGCATTAGTAGGCGATAAGCGTATTAACTGGATATAGTAGGCAATCCGTTTGTGGCTTTATCAGTTTTGAGGTTCTGGGGTTACAATAAACAAAAATTTCGCCGAACCATTAATTTTTAGATTGATTGTAAATCTTTTAGTCGTAGTCCACACCTATTTCAAGAAAACATTTTATATATTTAAGTTAAACATTATCTTTTATTTGGATATGCCTAATCACCGTGAAATTTCGCCCTTTTTAAAACTCGTGCGCGACTTTCTTTTGGGCCGTAAACATGTTACTCACCATCGCTACGCGGACACTGTTAGTCCTCGTAGCCAGGCAAACCCCGACATTCCTGCAGGCGCTTTAGCTCGACTATTCGGAAATCAATACTATCTAAGGGATGCACGCCGTCAGATGAGGCCACCCATTGATTTAGTTCAGCAAAAGATAGACGAAATCGCAGCTATTGCAGCCGCCGAAGCCGCTAAAGAAGCGGCAGCTGCCGAAGCGGCTGCCAAAGAAGCAGAAGCTGCAAAGAAAGCTCCTCAGGCTGGATCGACTCCAAGACCTGCTCCGACGCCAGCGGGTCCAGCGGGGCCTGCCAAGGCTGCTCCGCCAAGTCAGCCTAAGAAACCAGAAACGAAGTCTGACAAAGAAAGCAAAGATGGGCGGCAAAAACCAAAAAATAAAATTCCCACTCCGGGAAAGTTGCACCAATGGGACTAGCACCACAGTCCACAGCGATCAAACCTCTAAATTAAAAGGTTCAGTCTACAAATGAATCAAAATATGTATTTAAAATCTGGGCGTGTTCCCATATTAAAGTCTACGGGTCTCAGTCACTCGCTTTTCAGTTATTCAGTCGTTCAATTGTTCAGTTGCGCGGACATAATTACGGCCTTAGGCATTTGACACAATGGGGGACAATGTCAGTCAATGGTCAATGACAATGCGACGGGAGCGACAGGAGCTCATAAAAACGGAAATCTAATTAGACATCAGGGGCGAAAATCATTTATTACACCTGCATGAAAATTTAATTAAGCGCACAATTAACAGGACTGATGCCATTACAGTGCACGTTCCTGGCTTATGTATGCGCTTTATAATATTTAATGCCATCAAAATTTATTTACAATTTAAAACGAGGCAATTTTCGCAGCCAGTTCGCTGGCATTGAGTGGATTATGCCAATTGTTGATGATGATTGGAGGTCGATTGTTAATTGTCTGTTGCTGTAATTTATGTTAATGACTTTTCACATCGATTTATTGATTGCAAAAGTCAGTTTTTCGCACGGGCCCATAAAAACCACCCTAGCCCAAGATAACCCATCACTCACTCACATTGGCGAAATAAAAAAATGAATATAAAAATATATAATCTGATTTCGAGTTATGCAAAAATTCTTATATGTATACAGCTATTGTAGCGGGCGGTGTGGGCGTCCTCAAATTTATTGAAATTGCCCTCATAAGCCATGAGGCCGTCGAGGGTTGACTTCAGCTTGAAGTGGCAGATTGAAAAAGGGTGTCAATTGCTTGGAAATTTCACTCTCCGTCTGTCAAGTCAACATGTTGCCAATGTTGATTTCCATTTTGCTGCTGCAGCTGCCAAAAAAAATATGAATTTCAGTACAAAACTGAAGCACACTGTGCAAAAGCTAACTTATATTTGTTTGCTCTTTGGAATTTCAAGCTCGCATGAATACATCGACAGTTTTGCTTATTGGGTGGCCACTCTCGGTTTTTATGGAGCTCTGCGCCAAGAAATTTATTTATTATGTTGTTTATTGCCATCCACCAAGATATGTAACATACTAGTCCCTAATCAATGCTAATTTCTTGGCAACAAGTGTGCTCAAGTGCCGTAATATTCTGCACTTAGACATCGCATGCCGTAATGTAGATCGATACAAAAAAAAATTTATATGAAAAAGCTTGTCCGTATTTTCTTATGTGATGTGAATGCATATGCCCAGATGGGAATTAGCAAAAATCCATCCACAGTTGTGAAAACACAGTGAAAAACGGATTCATAAAAATCTTTATGAAACTTCATTTCACACTTTCCGGCGAATCCACCCTCTCGAAGTGAAAGCGTGTTAAGCCATTGTCAACTGCGCAAAATTGGCGAAAAACTGTTTTATGTAACTTTTTTTTGCCATCCGATCCGCTTTGAGCTCATTTTCAAAGATCATTATGAGAATTCATTCGCGTCATGTTTCACACTCTGAGTATAATCCACCCCTGCGTGGTGAAAAATGGGCGTAAAGGGTGCGCAATGTAGTTATATATTTTCTTTTATGCTTGTTTTTAAAGTGGGAACAAAAGAACAAATAACCATTTGAAAAAAATTAAAACTATGCACACAAAACAAACACATTTTGAGAATAATAATAAAGCATATATATGCGAGTACTCCCTTTTAGGCCCCCGTTCAGCACAATCCAAATATCAATTTTGGGCAACCACTTGGAACAACCAAAATTGCGGGCTTCAGACGACCGACGACAGCTGGGCACAATTGTCAACGCCTTGCACGCGTTCCACGCTTTCCGGACTTGCCTCAGTCAAATGTTACTCCAATCAGAAACGCGTAATTAAAATATGTACAAACAAGCCGGGAAGCTGGCAAGCTCTGGCCGTATAAGACGCACGAGTACAAGGAGCGCGGAGGGCCAAAAGTTTGTTTACTTTGCGTGTTTTTCTATAAAACCAAAAACAACAAAAACGGCAGCAACAGCAGCAGCAGCGCGGGAAATAACAACAAGAATAGCATTTGCATAAGGCAACAAACAGCTCCCAGGTTTAGGCAGTGTTGGGGTTGATGTTGGTGTTGGAGTGTGGAGTGTGGAGTTGGTTTAGTGGGTGCCCTCAAACGGAAGTTAATGAGCGCTGGAGTGGGCTGGCAAAAGAAAATCTAAAAATTCAATCCCCAGGACGAAGGCGAAATCACTTCATTAATGCGTCATTTGTAAGGGAGCATGGCCAGGATATAGTCAGTACATGGCCAGGACATGGCCATTGCCATACGGCATACGCCATATGCGACCGACATAGCCCCAAGGCAAATGCTCCTGCTCCTTCCAAACGGAAGTTGTCTCCACGACGAGCACAAAACTTTGCGCGAAACTTGCCACCAGGCTGTAACAACGTGTCACAGTCCTGGAAAAGTTGATTATTTTTTGCACGCAGTGTAGGGCCAAAACGGCGGGGCCTGCAGTCAGTTTCTAGTACACTGAATAATGACTTTTACCGTTGCGACGCATCGTCGTAGTCATCGTTGTCGAGCTGCGATGCCTTCGGGCCAAGTTTACGAGCTTTTTTTTTTGTTTTCGTTATCAGTCCCGCGCCCCAAAAATGCGAGACAGACTTTTACGCTCAGTGCTGTCGCAGAGTTATGCAGGCTCATTAAGTTGTTATACAGTTTAGAGAGAAAATTGTCAGCCTGCTTAATTTGGTGGAGTACGGGCACGAGAACCGGAGGAACGGAGGAAAGGAGGACCGGAGCACAGGCGCATAAACAAAAGATTTCCGTAGCTGGCCCTCAGCTTTTGTGTCCATGTCGCAGCTCATGGAAATTGTTTAATGAAATGAATTTTAAGAGAAAATTTATTATTTGCCTAAAATGAAATGAAAAGTGAAGTCCTCCCATTTATTTAACAATTTCGGGGTAGGTGGTTTGCTGCGTGAAAGTCCGGATGTACATTTTAAGTATAATTAAACCAAGGCTTGTCATTGAACTGTTTCGGGGACGTTGGTGCAGACGGTACTTGACTAGATGAGGAAAGTACCAATTAAGCAAAGCCTCGGGTATGACCTACACGAGCCAAAGCTGGCTGATGAGGATTTTTAATTGAAATGCAACAAGCTGCAACTCGATTAGTGGAATGTGACAAGCTCTAACGGATTTGATATCATATTTGCTAGCATTTATTTTCAACTGATTTTTACATTTAATTTACTTTGCTTAATATAAGATCTAATCCTGCATATACTCGAAAATATCGTCTCTTTTTCATGACCACATCAACTTTTCTTTTACACAATTTCACCTTCAATTAAACTTGAGTTAATTGACAGCGATGGAAAGGAAAAACCCCAGCACAAAAGCTTAAACCACAGCTCGAATATACCCAGGTATATCTACACAAAAGGCTCCCCCAAAAAGATAAATGGCGATGCCTTAAACCGATTGTGTGGATTAAATTGCCATATTGGCGAAATTGGCAGCGACGGTGTCAAAGTGGAGACAACAAGGACTCTAACGGTTGCCAAACTCCAGAAAGGGAGCAAGTATCGAAAACTTATTTTTGATAAGCGCAATTATAATTGGATTTGGGAGAAGTTGCTCCTCAGGAACGGCCAGAGCAGGTAGCTTATTAGATGGCGCAAAAGTCGTGCAAGCCAATGATTAATCTACCTCTGGAGTATTTAAAAAGAAAGATGCGCCTCAAGGGCAAGGGGCGCTTGGAGCCACGATGAGCAAGCCAATGGGAAAATTGGAAATTGTTGTGTTTGGTTGCGATAAAGACGTGTTTCTGCTCGGTCCCTGGCTTCGTATTTTTGTAAATGTTTGCTGTCAAGATAAGCACCACACAGCATGTGGTTTTATTTGCTTTGACTCGGCGGGTATACTGCCCTGTTAAGGGTGTGGGTGCAGTGGATTTCCAAAACGAGTTTGTCGCAAGGACTTAACAAAGACAAATGAAGCTGTTAGCGACTGACAGAGTCAACGGCTGGCTCGGAGTTTGGGTTTTATCGGCTGTCGCTTTGATTGCCGTTGCAATGCAACAACTTTGATGTGCAGTTGACTGGTCACTTGGTCATTAATTGAGTTTAATTATTGGGGCGTTAAATGTGCCCCAATGGAGTGGTGTGAAGTTCAGAGTGTAAGGTTTAGAGACGAGGCATGTGGCAAAGTGAGAAAATCGGGGTTACCAGGGACACAAACCACTCACAAAAGCCCTCAGTGTATTTATTCTGCATTGCTGCAGAGCGTTAAGAGTTCTTTATAACGGCCTTTCGATGTTATTTATTGACTTGCTGCTTTCTTCGCCCCTTGTCTGCATCTTCCCCACAGCAATGTCAATAGCTCATTAAAAGTCGGCAACAACTGGATCGCTCTACTGGACCACATAACCCAAATGAAAGACATTTATTTGTGCCCATAATTAAGCGCAGACAATGCCGCCTTCCAGCCAGGCCAGGCGAGCCGGGCGGAGGCAGGCGTCTCATCAAGAGACGCGCCCCTTGACTTGTCAAATATTTCAGCTGCTTTGGTAACAATTTATAAATGCAAATGGGGTACGCTCTCTACTCGCAGCTCGCTTTTAACGAGCCTGCCGAGAAGTTAAAGCATAAATTTGAAATTGTTTGCCGCTTGGCCGCAGGCATTTGACGACCCACCAAATAATTGACTATTTTTCTGGGTTGGCAGTTGCCACATGTGGCTCAAAATATTTCCTGAGCTGAGCGCTAAGCTTCGTGATTACGTGTTTATTTTTGGAAATTGAAAAACATTTGCCAAAAATAGGAAATTTTTCCTTAATATTCTCGGACCTTTTTTGCTACACACCAATTAAACATTAACCAAGCACTTTTTGGGGGAGTTCATTAACCCCCTTTCCCTTCTTTACGGCCGCTAGCTGTCAGTCCCTTTTAGACAGGCTGTGACATTCCACGCCTTTTGTTATGCATGCAAATTAATGATGGCAATGATTTGTAGGTCGACCGCGGGGCATCAAGGTGTGGGTTCATTTATTTTGGAACTCAAATTAATGTTTCTAACTTTTAATTGCAGTTGTCAAGGGTCTGATGTGGGACAGGTGATCTATTCAAGAAATTCT